CTTTCTCTGTCCGATCGAAAAACTTTTCATCTTACTCTCGTAAATGAAGACAGCATTCTTTCTCTGTCCGATCGAAAAACTTTTCATCTTACTCTCGTAAATGAAGACAGCATTCTTTCTCTGTCCAATCGAAAAACTTTTCATCTTACTCTCGTAAATGAAGACAGCATTCTTTCTCTGTCCGATCGAAAAACTTTTCATATTACCCTCGTAAATGAAGACAGCATTCTTTCTCTGTCCAATCGAAAAACTTTTCATCTTACTCTCGTAAATGAAGACAGCATTCTTTCTCTGTCCGATCGAAAAACTTTTCATCTTACTCTCGTAAATGAAGACAGCATTCTTTCTCTGTCCGATCGAAAAACTTTTCATATTACCCTCGTAAATGAAGACAGCATTCTTTCTCTGTCCGATCGAAAAACTTTTCATCTTACTCTCGTAAATGAAGACAGCATTCTTTCTCTGTCCGATCGAAAAACTTTTCATCTTACTCTCGTAAATGAAGACAGCATTCTTTCTCTGTCCGATCGAAAAACTTTTCATCTTACTCTCGTAAATGAAGACAGCATTCTTTCTCTGTCCGATCGAAAAACTTTTCATCTTACTCTCGTAAATGAAGACAGCATTCTTTCTCTGTCCGATCGAAAAACTTTTCATCTTACTCTCGTAAATGAAGACAGCATTCTTTCTCTGTCCGATCGAAAAACTTTTCATCTTACTCTCGTAAATGAAGACAGCATTCTTTCTCTGTCCGATCGAAAAACTTTTCATATTACCCTCGTAAATGAAGACAGCATTCTTTCTCTGTCCGATCGAAAAACTTTTCATATTACCCTCGTAAATGAAGACATCATTTTTTCTCTGTCCGATCGAAAAACTTTTCATATTACCCTCGTAAATGAAGACAGCATTCTTTCTCTGTCCGATCGAAAAACTTTTCATCTTACCCTCGTAAATGAAGAGACAGCATTCTTTCTCTGTCCGATCGAAAAACTTTTCATATTACCCTCGTAAATGAAGAGACAGCATTCTTTCTCTGTCCGATCGAAAAACTTTTCATATTACCCTCGTAAATGAAGACATCATTTTTTCTCTGTCCGATCGAAAAACTTTTCATATTACCCTCGTAAATGAAGACAGCATTCTTTCTCTGTCCGATCGAAAAACTTTTCATCTTACCCTCGTAAATGAAGAGACAGCATTCTTTCTCTGTCCGATCGAAAAACTTTTCATATTACCCTCGTAAATGAAGAGACAGCATTCTTTCTCTGTCCGATCGAAAAACTTTTCATATTACCCTCGTAAATGAAGAGACAGCATTCTTTCTCTGTCCGATCGAAAAACTTTTCATATTACCCTCGTAAATGAAGACAGCATTCTTTCTCTGTCCGATCGAAAAACTTTTCATATTACCCTCGTAAATGAAGACAGCATTCTTTCTCTGTCCGATCGAAAAACTTTTCATCTTACCCTCGTAAATGAAGAGACAGCATTCTTTCTCTGTCCGATCGAAAAACTTTTCATCTTACCCTCGCAAATGAAGACAGCATTCTTTCTCTGTCCGATCGAAAAACTTTTCATCTTACCCTCGCAAATGAAGACAGCATTCTTTCTCTGTCCGATCGAAAAACTTTTCATCTTACCCTCGTAAATGAAGAGACAGCATTCTTTCTCTGTCCGATCGAAAAACTTTTCATCTTACCCTCGTAAATGAAGAGACAGCATTCTTTCTCTGTCCGATCGAAAAACTTTTCATCTTACCCTCGTAAATGAAGAGACAGCATTCTTTCTCTGTCCGATCGAAAAACTTTTCATCTTACCCTCGCAAATGAAGACAGCATTCTTTCTCTGTCCGATCGAAAAACTTTTCATCTTACCCTCGTAAATGAAGAGACAGCATTCTTTCTCTGTCCGATCGAAAAACTTTTCATCTTACCCTCGTAAATGAAGAGACAGCATTCTTTCTCTGTCCGATCGAAAAACTTTTCATCTTACCCTCGTAAATGAAGAGACAGCATTCTTTCTCTGTCCGATCGAAAAACTTTTCATCTTACCCTCGCAAATGAAGACAGCATTCTTTCTCTGTCCGATCGAAAAACTTTTCATCTTACCCTCGTAAATGAAGAGACAGCATTCTTTCTCTGTCCGATCGAAAAACTTTTCATCTTACCCTCGTAAATGAAGAGACAGCATTCTTTCTCTGTCCGATCGAAAAACTTTTCATCTTACCCTCGCAAATGAAGACAGCATTCTTTCTCTGTCCGATCGAAAAACTTTTCATCTTACCCTCGTAAATGAAGAGACAGCATTCTTTCTCTGTCCGATCGAAAAACTTTTCATCTTACCCTCGTAAATGAAGAGACAGCATTCTTTCTCTGTCCGATCGAAAAACTTTTCATCTTACTCTCGTAAATGAAGACAGCATTCTTTCTCTGTCCGATCGAAAAACTTTTCATCTTACTCTCGTAAATGAAGACAGCATTCTTTCTCTGTCCGATCGAAAAACTTTTCATATTACCCTCGTAAATGAAGACAGCATTCTTTCTCTGTCCGATCGAAAAACTTTTCATATTACCCTCGTAAATGAAGACATCATTTTTTCTCTGTCCGATCGAAAAACTTTTCATATTACCCTCGTAAATGAAGACAGCATTCTTTCTCTGTCCGATCGAAAAACTTTTCATCTTACCCTCGTAAATGAAGAGACAGCATTCTTTCTCTGTCCGATCGAAAAACTTTTCATATTACCCTCGTAAATGAAGAGACAGCATTCTTTCTCTGTCCGATCGAAAAACTTTTCATATTACCCTCGTAAATGAAGACATCATTTTTTCTCTGTCCGATCGAAAAACTTTTCATATTACCCTCGTAAATGAAGACAGCATTCTTTCTCTGTCCGATCGAAAAACTTTTCATCTTACCCTCGTAAATGAAGAGACAGCATTCTTTCTCTGTCCGATCGAAAAACTTTTCATATTACCCTCGTAAATGAAGAGACAGCATTCTTTCTCTGTCCGATCGAAAAACTTTTCATATTACCCTCGTAAATGAAGAGACAGCATTCTTTCTCTGTCCGATCGAAAAACTTTTCATATTACCCTCGTAAATGAAGACAGCATTCTTTCTCTGTCCGATCGAAAAACTTTTCATATTACCCTCGTAAATGAAGACAGCATTCTTTCTCTGTCCGATCGAAAAACTTTTCATCTTACCCTCGTAAATGAAGACAGCATTCTTTCTCTGTCCGATCGAAAAACTTTTCATATTACCCTCGTAAATGAAGACAGCATTCTTTCTCTGTCCGATCGAAAAACTTTTCATCTTACCCTCGCAAATGAAGACAGCATTCTTTCTCTGTCCGATCGAAAAACTTTTCATCTTACCCTCGCAAATGAAGACAGCATTCTTTCTCTGTCCGATCGAAAAACTTTTCATATTACCCTCGTAAATGAAGACAGCATTCTTTCTCTGTCCGATCGAAAAACTTTTCATATTACCCTCGTAAATGAAGACAGCATTCTTTCTCTGTCCGATCGAAAAACTTTTCATCTTACCCTCGTAAATGAAGACAGCATTCTTTCTCTGTCCGATCGAAAAACTTTTCATCTTACCCTCGCAAATGAAGACAGCATTCTTTCTCTGTCCGATCGAAAAACTTTTCATATTACCCTCGTAAATGAAGACAGCATTCTTTCTCTGTCCGATCGAAAAACTTTTCATATTACCCTCGTAAATGAAGACAGCATTCTTTCTCTGTCCGATCGAAAAACTTTTCATCTTACCCTCGTAAATGAAGACAGCATTCTTTCTCTGTCCGATCGAAAAACTTTTCATCTTACCCTCGCAAATGAAGACAGCATTCTTTCTCTGTCCGATCGAAAAACTTTTCATATTACCCTCGTAAATGAAGACAGCATTCTTTCTCTGTCCGATCGAAAACTTTTCATATTACCCTCGTAAATGAAGACAGCATTCTTTCTCTGTCCGATCGAAAAACTTTTCATCTTACCCTCGTAAATGAAGACAGCATTCTTTCTCTGTCCGATCGAAAAACTTTCATATTACCCTCGTAAATGAAGACAGCATTCTTTCTCTGTCCGATCGAAAAACTTTTCATCTTACCCTCGTAAATGAAGACAGCATTCTTTCTCTGTCCGATCGAAAAACTTTTCATATTACCCTCGTAAATGAAGACAGCATTCTTTCTCTGTCCGATCGAAAAACTTTTCATCTTACCCTCGTAAATGAAGACAGCATTCTTTCTCTGTCCGATCGAAAAACTTTTCATCTTACCCTCGCAAATGAAGACAGCATTCTTTCTCTGTCCGATCGAAAAACTTTTCATCTTACCCTCGCAAATGAAGACAGCATTCTTTCTCTGTCCGATCGAAAAACTTTTCATCTTACCCTCGTAAATGAAGAGACAGCATTCTTTCTCTGTCCGATCGAAAAACTTTTCATCTTACCCTCGTAAATGAAGAGACAGCATTCTTTCTCTGTCCGATCGAAAAACTTTTCATCTTACCCTCGTAAATGAAGAGACAGCATTCTTTCTCTGTCCGATCGAAAAACTTTTCATCTTACCCTCGCAAATGAAGACAGCATTCTTTCTCTGTCCGATCGAAAAACTTTTCATCTTACCCTCGTAAATGAAGAGACAGCATTCTTTCTCTGTCCGATCGAAAAACTTTTCATCTTACCCTCGTAAATGAAGAGACAGCATTCTTTCTCTGTCCGATCGAAAAACTTTTCATCTTACCCTCGTAAATGAAGAGACAGCATTCTTTCTCTGTCCGATCGAAAACTTTTCATCTTACCCTCGTAAATGAAGAGACAGCATTCTTTCTCTGTCCGATCGAAAAACTTTTCATCTTACCCTCGCAAATGAAGACAGCATTCTTTCTCTGTCCGATCGAAAAACTTTTCATCTTACCCTCGTAAATGAAGAGACAGCATTCTTTCTCTGTCCGATCGAAAAACTTTTCATCTTACCCTCGCAAATGAAGACAGCATTCTTTCTCTGTCCGATCGAAAAACTTTTCATCTTACCCTCGTAAATGAAGAGACAGCATTCTTTCTCTGTCCGATCGAAAAACTTTTCATCTTAC